AATCTCGGGGGCAGAAGAAAGGCTTGCAAGGATGATATTTGTCCTGGTCTCCAAGTCACACCCCAGAAGAAGCCTTATACTCAAATCTCAGTTATTGGGTCTAAGACAGGTCCTGACCCGACAGTCCTAATTCGTGAGGAGGAAAGGGAGTAAGATAAAAAAAACAAAAGTTTACCAATAAGAAGACAAGGGAAAAGTGGCATTGGCCAAAAAGAAATATATGTTACCTAAACTTACATAACTGTCACCCCTCCGTACGTCATCTTAATAATGACAAGAAAACCTGGTAAGTTTACCAACTCGTCCAAAGTAACATAATTAGCTATGTAGCCATAATCTTTTTTGCCTACTTCCAAAACTATGTTTCAGTAGTGCACTTCCAATGTATTCTTCTCCGTATAACTTATGATTGACACAAAACCACCATTCACTCCAAGTCCTCCATGAAGTTCCCCTCCCCCACCCATAGGAATGGAAGAAACCGCTAGACCTAAGACACGCTTTATATTCTGAATCACCTTCGTTTTTAAGACAGAATACTCCAGAGTGGCAAAAGAGTCAGCCGCACACACTGATGATTAAAGTTACTATTTTTACCAAACTCACCCCCATTTATTCCGTTTACTATGCACCCGGCCCTATTCTATTCATGCTGTGCATCTATTTCGCCACTTACAAGGAACTGAAACCCTGAACGCCTCACTTTAAGACGATAAAAATCAAGTCTTCTTAGTTAAAGCCATGACTCAGAAAACGTTAAGGCAAATAAAAGTCCTACAAATATAATGGTTAAAAAAAAACCTTAATTCTTCCCTCTTAAGCAACCAAAAGAATCCCCCCCACCCCCGCCACCCACTTTCTGGTTCACCACGTAGAACTCCTAACTTGTTGTGCAGCTGGGACTGTCCACAAACTGGCGGCCCTCCTAGCTTTCCCTGCCCCCGGGCGGGCCTGCGCCATCACCACGCTACTTGTACCTTTCTTCATATTCTACAACCAAGACCATCACAGCAAAGTCAGAGACAGGAAATGCAGAGCCAAACCCCACCTCTGCAGATCGAGGACGGGTGTGCACACGGATGGGAAGTGCAAATACTAAGCGCAGACTGGGCAGCTCAGGCACCGGCCAGCTTCCCGAGCACCACGATTCTGAGGCTGTGGTCATCACACAAGAGAAGACATAAACATAAAAATCAACAAAGCTCTTCTCTTCCCTGTTTGTGTTCCCGTGGCACCATAACGTTCTTGGCATTTAATGAAATGAGGAGGAGAACAGATAAAGATCCTACTCTAATTAGCTGTTGCTTAATGTGTGGGTTTTTTTTTTTCCAGAAGATAATTCTATGGCAGAACAACTTTCCTAAAAGCCAGAAATGCTGCTATAAACTGGAAAAGCTACACGTTTGTGCAGCTTCTGGCTGAGATGTTTATATTACGAATCGATGTAGCCTTACAGAGGGGAGGCGTGTGTGTGTGTCCCACAGGTCCCTGTCATGTCTCATTTCAAAGCATAACAGAAACAAGCTTTTTTACTGTCTCTTAAAATCAAAAGAGGCCAATGGAGCATATTCATATATATATATATATATATATATATGTGTATTATATATATATATATATATGAAGTAGCTTAGGATTCTACCAGAAGGGATTTTTAAATGCGCATCTTCGATGCATGTTTACGAAATGGAATTTTTGTTATGATAATTTGACAAAGTTCACAAGACTCCCCTCCCCCACCCACCCTCATTTTTCAACAAGAGGTAAGAAAAATCTAGATTGTCTTCCACCATCTAAAAATTCAATAAGTAGCTCCCTCTCCTGGAAAAAAAAAAAAAAAAAAGTTGAGTTCCTCTTTAAGCTACAAAACACACAGTACTCTTAAGACAATTTTTTAAATGACATGAAACAAAAATATATGTACCCATATAGAGCCAAAAAAAGTTTTTTGTCTGTATCAGTATCGTAAGACAACAGATACAGTTTCACAGAAAGCTGTACTTACCAAAATGAAGTCTGCCTGGTTCACAAAAAAGTAGTGAATGTCATGATTTTACTTAAAATCCTGTGGGGCTGAGCACAAAATGAGATTCTTTTCTTTCTAGTGGTCTTGTACCATCATCAACCCTCAATTGTGTTGCTCTTGCTTCTACCTTTGAGCTCACTTTTACCCAAAATTGAGTGGTTCTATAAGGTTCTATAAGCAGCTCCATGAAGACATAAAGTAACATATGCCATTATGACTGACTGGCAGAAAAATACCCCAAATTTATGTTTCACAGTGTCTAGTTGTCACAGCATGAACTATTTCTGGGAACTGGGATGTCTAATAAGAAATGCAATTTATATAAAGGTTAATCAAGAGGCAGATTGCTGTTTTTCTCATGTGTTAAAAACAAACTCTTCTCCCACACTCCATTCATCCATCTGCCCACAGCAATTATGTCATAAGCTTAAAATGAAGTCACTGCCATTTTTTTTAAAATGTTATCGCTGAAGATGAGAGAAATGCAGCCTGAGTGTGAAGGGAGAGTTAGTCAGAAGAGAAGCCACAAAAGCACACTGTCTCAAACTATCGGGCTCCCGGGGATGCCAGGAGAACTTCAAAGCCTGGATGCTTCCCAGAAAGCAGGTTTGCCTGGGTGTGAGTCACACAGCACACCTGCGGCCCTCAGCCTCAGATGCCATGACTACGGCTATTAAAGAAACACAAACTACACATGTGCTATTTAAAAAATCTGTATTAGTCCTAGCAATTGTTTTTTCAATGTATCAGTACTCAGAAGTGCCTGGGGAAAAAATATGTCAGCATGTTAACTGCAGGAAGTAAGTATTACGGAGCTTTCTGGGAAAATGTTGGGTTCCAGAGAGCCTGCCTACTTCCCCAGACCACAAGACAGTAACCTCCAGCAAGCACAGCATGACACACACGCTGAGGCTTCTGCTTCTCCCCTGAAAAGACAGTTGAGGGAAAACTGTTCCCCTTCGAGCGTGTGCCTGTGTGGTCCCATGGACTCCACAGTGTGTGTCTGTCTGTCATCCCATGGACTTCATGGTGCATGTCTGTCTGTCCTCCACACTGTGTGCACTTGTCATCCCGTGGACCCCAGTGTGTCTGTCTATCCTCCTGTGGACTCCACAGTGTGTGTCTATTTGTCATCCCAAGGACTCCAGTGTGTCTGTCTGTCCTCCCGTGGACTCCACAGTGTGTCATCTGTTGTCCCGTGGACCCCAATGAGTGCTGTCTGTCCTGTGGATTCCACAGTGTGCATGTGTCTGTCTGTCATTCTGTGAACTCCAGTGTGTGCGTGTCTGTCTAACCTCTTGTGGACTACACCTGCCTGCCTGTCTGTGTCATCCCTGTGGACTCCACAGTATCTCCGTGTCCGTCTGTCATCCTGTGGCCTGCACTGATGTGAACTCCTGCACTAGTTCTGGGCATTCCTGGCTGCGTGGTGATGGCCGCAGGGTCCGCAGGGGACACGGACTGGACGGCCAGGCAGTGGCCCCCTGTGGGCGTGGCATGGCCTGCCCAGGCCGGCACCTGGGCCCGGGCTGCTGCTGGCCTCCTGTGGCCCAGCACTGGGCCGGGCTGGATGAAGCTGCACAAAGCCAGGCTGGAGGAGTTCCTCAGGGGAGAGACACACCCTGCCCTGGCCCCCCCCCCATGCTTGGAGGAGGAGGGAGAGGAGGAAGAGGAGGAGGAAGGTGAGGGGGAGGAGGAGGGAGAGGGAGAGGGAAGAAGAGGGGGAGGAGGGGAAGGGGATGGGGAAGGAGGAGGAGGAGGAAGGAAGAGAAGAAGAGGAAGAGGAGAGAGAGGGGGAGGAGGGAGGAGAAGGAGGGAGAAGGGGAGGGGGAGAAGGGGGAAGAAAGAGGTGGAGGGAAGAGGAGGAAGAGGAGGAATTGAGAGGAGGGGAAGAGGGAAAGAAGAAGGGAAAGGGAAAGGAGGAAGAGGGGGAGGAGGGGAAGGAGGAGGAAGGGAAGGAAGAGAAGGAGGAAGATGGAGGAGGAGGAAGAAGAGGGGGAGGAGGGAAGAGGAAGAAGAAGAGGAGGAAGGGAAGGAAGAAGAGGAGGAAGGAGGAGGATGGTGGAGGAGGAAGAAGAGGGGGAGGAGGGAAGAGGAAGAAGAGGAGGAGGAAGGGAAGGAAGAAGAGGAGGAAGGAGGAGGAGAAGGAGGAAGTGGAGGGGGAAGTGGAGGGAGAGGAGGAGGGAAAGGAGGAGGGAGGAGGAGGGAGGAGGAGGAGGAAGAGGGGGAGAAGGGGAAGGAAGAGAAGGAGGAGGGGAAGGAGGAAGGAGGAGGAGAGTGGAGAAAGGAGAAGGGAGGAGGTGGAAGAAGAGGAGGGGGAAGAAGGGGGGAGGAGGAAGGAGGGGGAGGAAGAAAGGAAGGAGGAAGGAGGTGAAGGAGAAGGAGGGTGGGGGAGAGGAGGGAGGAGGGGAAGGAAGAAGGAGGATGGATAGGGGGAGGAGGAAGGAGAGGAAGGAGGAGGAGGTGAAGGAGGAGGAGGAGGGGAAGGAAGAGGAGGAGGAAGGGAGGGAAGAGGAGGAAGGGGAAAGAGGAGGATGGAGGAGGAGGAAGAAGAGGGGGAGGAGGGAAGAGGAGGAAGAAGAGGAGGAGGAAGGGAAGGAAGAGGAGGAGGAGAGGGAGGAGGAAGGAGGAGGAGGAGGAAGTGGAGGGAGAGGAGGAGGGGAAGGAGAAGGGGAAGGAGAAGGAGGAGGAGGAGGAGGAAGGAGGAGGAGGAGAGTGGAGAAAGGAGGAGGGAGGAGGGGGAAGAAGAGGAAGAGGAGGAAGGAGGGGGGGAGGAAGAGAGGAAGAGAGGAAGGAGGTGAAGGAGAAGGAGGGTGGGGGAGGAGGAGGAGGGGAAGGACGAGGGGGGAGGAGGAGGAAGAAGAGGGGGAGGAAGGAGGGGGGAGGAGCAGGGCGGCCCTGGCGCGGGGTGGGGGTGGGATGTGGGGGGGCGTCGTGCGTCCTCCCCCCCGGCCCGGCGCGCGCGCGCACCCACCTGTAGCACCAGCGGCTCGGGGTTGAAGGCCAGCGTGAGCAGCAGCTGCATGCGCTCGGCGTCCTTGAGGTTGCGCAGCAGGAAGCTGCCCGAGTCGCGCGTCTCGGCGTAGCGGCGCACCAGGCGGTCGAGCAGGCGCTGCGAGGGGCAGTGCACCAGGTCGGACCAGCCCTCCACGGCGGCGGGCGTCAGCAGGCGCACGGCGCCGTTGAGGCGCGCGAACTCGGTGCGCGGCAGGGCCTGCG